TTAAAATAAAAATACAGTGTAAACTCTTTATAACGAATTTCAAGGGGCCGAAAATTTTAATTCGTTATAGAGAGGTTGCGTTATAGGGAGGAAAGAATTAATGTATGGGTAATGGGTTAAACCAAATAAATTAACTCATTATTACGTTATAGAGAGGTTTCGTTATAACGTATGGCGTTATAAAGAGTACACAGTATATAGTCGCTACTTCTCTTTTCGAAAACACTCTCCTTAAAGCCACAGCCAGCAAAAGAAAACTTGGCGTTAACATACCGAACAACGTTCAGTTTCGTGGTAATTTTGAGGGAAAGGCTCAATTAGCCTCCTAGAAGCTTGGTGTGCCCAATAATTGGCTTCACTCCAGGCTATCGCTTGCAAATGTATAAAGAGAAAATTCGGCCCCACATGAAGTACTGTTCTCAACCCTAGTCGGGCTCCCCTGGGCGAGCTCCCCAGCGAAATTCCACCCGTATAAACTCTATCGTTCAACAGCTGAGCGTTTTTTAAGCAGTGGGCCAAGTAGTTTTATAGCCGAAGTATTTCCGAACCAATTCGACTTATTATTGACAGTCCATTTTGAACTTTACTCCTACCTTATTTAATTTACATTCATGAAATTTATTACCCCTCAGCTTAAATTACATCCAAAGATAATATAGAACTGAGCATCCGTACACATTAATTAATGAATTGACACTTAAATGATATTTCACAATTTTGTGCTACCATGACCTCTTATTGCGAACCTATTGACAACCTACAACATAGATGCATCGCTTATTCATAGCATTCTAAAAAATTCATTATAATTTTTATATTTCAAATATAAAAGTGTCACCACCGCGTCCAACAGTCACCATTTCGCGATATACATTATCTCACGAAAGTTACAATTTCAAGGAACATTATATTAAAAGGGTAGTGTTTTAGTGGAATACGGATAGATTTTCTAAGTTATACTTATAGGTACTCTTTGGAAAAACCTGTATTTATCATCTAGTCATAAATTAGTTACATAAGCCAAGTTTTCCGCATAGCACCAAAATTAATACCATTTATCATATCCTATGTAGTTATTTATAATGATTACGTATGAAATATATAGAGTTGAAGAGGTCTTTTTTGGAACGCGCTCATCTCAGAAAGTTCAAATATTATGTTTGTATTATTATAATGAATCTATAAAGGATGTGTACCATGACACTATAAAATTCACGCTGGTGACACCTGAGTACTGCTAGACGCTAGTATTAGATAAACCTAAAAACCTCAGATATATCATTTCTATAACCTACGAAATTTCCTAGTATTTTTAATCATACCTAGTCGTTGTCTTTACCTATACCTTACTACACAATTATTAACGTGAGCATTGAAAACAATTATATTACGGATCTAGCTACTTCAGGTTACGAAGGTCATGGGGCCCAGCACCCACCTGGGGTGAAGGCCGTCCTGGACCGCCCGGAAGAAGTAAATCATGAAATGATAAAGATGTTAAGTTATACTTTGACTGATCTGATGCGAGCGCCACTCTTGGTTGATCGATTTCTGTAGATTTATTGGCTTCATTTGACCTGTTCCATCCGCACAAACAATGCTTAGGAGGTTGTTGGTTATTGATTTGTTTAAAATTGTTTTCAGATTTTATCAAACCAATATGCCTGCCATTCACAGACGATTTAATGAATAGTTCATATGAGGATCGCATTCTTGAGGTGGCCGGTTGGGGTTCGATAAATAATATAAGTAAGTAATAGTGTCAAATTGATGTAATTATATATCAAAATTCAAAAAATGTCTTATGAAATTGTGCCTAAGTTAAAATCGAGTAACAATCGTAATGGAATATAAATAGTATTGATACATTTTTGTATGAAAAAGTTAACAAGCGCTCCATGGCTATTTGATACAAATAGTTCAAATAGAATATGTAACAAACTAAATTAATGATTATCAATATACTGAGCTGCTAAAACCGAAATTATCGTTTTGACGTATACAAATATTTAACTAAACTATCTTAAAATTCGTACCATAGACGGAGTCTATCTCCATAAAAAATTCGTTGGTTTTATAGACAACTTAATATATATTAGTATAAACTTAAATATAGTAGGTATTATTGCATAACGTGCGTAACATTTCACTATAACTATTATGCCCAGGTATACTAAATGACTTATTATTATTAAATTAACTTTTACAGCTCCTAACTCCACCGTAAAGCTTAAAGCTAAAATACCAGTGTCCAGAAATGAGAATTGCAAACGCCTATACCACCTCCATAACATATCCATAAGAGACACCCAGATCTGCGCAGGGGCTGGGAAAACAAATGAAAATTGTTGCAAGGGTGACTCTGGGGGAGGTCTTTTTGGACAAACTTATGGGATACGTAGACCAGGTCGAGGATATGGGAGTAATTGGTTCCTCTTTGGTATCGTGTCGTTCGGGCTATCACCGTGTGGTACTCTGGGATATCCAACAGTATTCACGCGCGTAACTGCCTATAGAGATTGGATACTTTCTAATATCAAACCTTAGTACTATGTCTGACAAATGTACGATAATTTTCTATGTAGTTTATTCTATTAATGTTATATATATTGTTTTATAATTGCATAAACATTATAAATAAACTTAAAGTACAAAAGAACCACTAAGAGACCCTTTAATCTAAATAATTCCTTATAAAGTAAAGAGTTCGCAGTTTTGCAGTTTTTCGGCGGTATGGCGGCCATTAGGAACCGTCCGATTAGTATGGCATGGTGATTTTCGTAAATGGCTGCACGACGATGATTAACTGTGCAAAAATTTGCCTGGTACAAATGGTTGTTTTTTTTTTATTAACGCATTCGCGTATGGCGGGCTGTAAGTCACACCGGAGAAGGATGGCATGACACTGCCGCCTGTTATTTTTTTATGGACTATCGGAAAATACTAGAATTTTTGTGGAACAAATCGTTTGAAAGTCGTAATTAATCCTACGAGTTCGACTAACGCCCTCGCGCTTGGGCCGCCCGTACCGGCGCTATGACCATCATTTTTCTTTTTTACATTTCGTAAGACCCCTGAAGGATATGTAGAAGTATGGCGGATACTGGTACAAATGACCCACTATTTTGTGTCACCCGGCCTATTTAACTTATGGAGCCAAGGAATCACATCCCAGGTTGGCCAAAAAATACATATAATAAACAATTAACAAGGCGCGAAACAATATAATATGAGGCTGTCCATTTTCCATATTAATTATTTGCGCGGACTGTTAGAAGTTTTATGCTGCTTATCGCTCTTCGTGTTAGTGTTCGACATCACGTCTCAGGGCTGAGTCGAAAAAACTCTCCTATATATATTGTTATGTCATAAATGGCTAGAGAAACTGTGTTCTCACCACATTATCATAACCGGATTGACATGAGAATAATAACGGAAGGAACTAGATAATTAATAAGTAAAATTACTTCAAACACATTTTTACGTTAAATTAAATGTATTTTGTTACGTAAAATTTTTTATCCAACCTGTTACGTCGTCAGATTTTTAATTAATAATTTAAAGTGGAAAATTGTGATAATTATAATCTTCTTAAGACGTCCGTGAAATTAGAAACGTATTCTTTAAAATCGAATTAAGTTTCGTTCCTTTCGCGTCAATTTTACATCAATTAATTTTTCGAATAATTATCAATTGTTTTACGAAACGTTCATAAAAGCTAGAATGACAATATTCTGACTATACTCAGTGTGGGGTTTCTAATAATAACAACGAATAGCGTTAATACTTTATTTAAATATGAAAAAATTGCCGATACTTTCATTCACACACACATAGCCAGCACCTTTTATCACTACAAAATATTTTTTAATGAAAATAAAGAAATATATTAACTTTAAATAAAAGAGGAATGTTCACGCTTGTCACAATTTGTGTTTTGTACTTGTTTGATATTCTTTGGATGCAACATAACTAAAACACTAATGTATTTGTCAATGTTTATAAGAATTGTATCTTTGCGAGATTCAATTTTAATTAGCTGCATGTTTTCTATTAAATAAACATATATGCTCATTTTCCAAAACTTATCTTAGCAATTCTTGAGTGTCGGGAGGAGTAACTTCTATTCCTAATAAAAATATAATAGACATTGTAAAAGAATACTAAATGGAATGTAGTACATATATGTAATTTTGAAATTTTTACTGACTACCTTTAAATAGGAATGACATTTTAATATTTTATTTCTAAGTCTACATGATACATAATATACTATATACATAAAGATAGGAATGTTATATAAGTGTATATCAATAGACTGCAAATGGCAAGATATATGTTTATAGAATAACTATGTGAATAATTGTGCTTCTTTGCAATAAATACTTGACTATAATACGTCTAAAACAAAAAAGGTAGGACTATGCATATCCTTTTCGTTTTGTTTATCTCTATATGAAATAACATTTAAAAAGCCAACATTAAGGCTAAAGTATTAGTTATCCTTATATCATAAGTTCATATCAATTTGAACTCAAATATATAATTATCTACGAAGAAATTTTAAATATTTATAAAATTAAAAATAGATATTAATTTACCACCAAACACAGGCCAAACTTACCCACCCACATAAGCTTTTTCTTGTTCATACAGACTAAAAGATCAATCCTTTTAATAATATTTTAACTTAACAAGACTGAACTAAATAATTATAAAGTCTTCTTTTTATTTTTACCTCTAAATATTGTGCTTTTGCAGCATTTTTAAATATCAGCTTATCTTGAAAGGAAATGAAAGGTGATCCAATGTCACAAATATAGACCCCATGAATTATGTTTAATCAAAAAGTTTGCTGTGTACAAAATGTAATGAAATGAAAGCCAAATATTTTTTTTGGATTCATTTGGATTCCATATAGTGTCATAGTATACCGGATTTCTTTTAAAATTATTAAGAAAATGTGTGTTTTCTTAATTTCAAGATACCTTGATAATATTTTAGGAAGCTGCTGCAATTTCTACAGCAACCTCTTGTGTTACTAGATTTTCTCCATCTGATGGCTGTTCAGTTGCAGACAATTCTTTATTTTCACAATATTCAATTGTAGAAAAAAACTCATCAATCCCATTTACTTTGATGCCATTTGTAAGAATGTCTTGGAGTTTTTCTCCAAAATCTGGGTCAGTCTCGGTTACTGCCTTAATCAAGCGTTCTTTTTGATCCTCGTTCCATGTTGGATACCATTCATTAAACAGCTTAATCTGTAAAATAAAATAGTAAATGAAACCTTATTATAATAAAATAGTAAATACAGGGATGTTATGGAGCTCCATAACGGTAACCGAAACTATCGGATATCCGAAATAAAAATATCGCGTCTATTTAGATTTTAGATGACATGTTTCGACAGGCTTTTGTTGGTTGGTTTCATTACTCACAAAAAGAATTAAAAAGAAAACATGTAATATGTTATAAGTTAACATGTGCAATGTATAAAGCTAAATGTTTTTTTACAGCTTTTAAATTTATTGCATTTTTATTTTAATAGATACAACTGAAGAGGTATATAATAGTTACTGACCTATATGACCAATTATAATATGAACTGATAACCTAGACTATATTTAAAGGTAAAACCTTTTTTTACCTTTAAATGTAACTAAATTATTACATACTATTTTTTTATATTTAACACTATCCAAAACTAATGGATAATCCGAAATAATTACATATCCGTAACCATATCCGAAACCGATATAATTTTATTCCTATATCCATATCCGTATCCAGATCCGAAATATTATATCCATAACATCTCTACTTCAATAAATAAGTTTAAGGCACAATTTTGTTTAAAAACAGCAAAAGTTAACAGATATTCCAAAGATCTTCGTACTTAAGTCATTTCCATGGTCAAAGTATTGGTTACTTTAATGATTTTAACACTGAAGCCAAAGCATAAATGCATCTCGCCAATCACACAATTTCATATAATAAGATATACTTAAATATACATTCTTATTTCTTATTCTTAAGTAGGGTTGTACAAAAAACTTACACGACACTGAAACAAGCTCAGGGGCTTGTCATCACAGGTAAGTGTAGAGAGACCTGCAGTTAGCTGATCAGGTTTATCTCCATGAGCAGCAGCAAGTATTGGCAAGAAATCCTCTCTCTGCAGTTCACTAAACTCTTCAAACCATTGAATCATGTATCGAAGCTGAGCTTCAGAAGTTAAACCTGAACTGGACATTCTCCGATATGTATATCTATGCTCAGTAATAACTGCTGTAAATAACAAAAGTAATAATATTAAAAATATTCACAGGCAAATATTATTCAATATATTTTATTTATAAGAGTTACTACACCTTATTGGTACTAAACTTATTGGTATTGTCAGGATACTTACACTCAGAAACAACAGGCAAACAAACTGCAGATGCAAGAATAAAACTCATTTTTTTTACGATTTACGTTCGTGATCAACGAAATCTAAAGTGAAACTAAGATCTCAAAATGGCTATTAGATCATAGATGTAAATTTATTGACTTTCGATTACATTCAAATCTCAGCAAGGTTAAATAATATGCATAATTTCACCTCTATGTTATATCATACACTGCTGAACTTTCTATTAATCGACTTTCGGAATCTAACTTATATCCTATACTCCATCAGTAGCTTCTTGAAAACATCACAAGATATGGCTATGTGAAGTTTAATGATACAATAATAATTTTAATACACACCTTTGACTGCTGAGGGTTTTTCAAAATTTAATATATCTTAGTGTTGCGTAGTCTTTTAGACTTATTAAGATTTCGAGGTTTTACTTTTATAAACTTTGAACAAATGATCTTTTGCGTTTTTAATTAGAGATTTGAAAACTGCAACTCAAAACATCAAAACAAAAGCATTAGTAATTCTAAATTCATTAAAATATATTCATTCATATCTTCATGACATTATTTATACTTTGTCGACAGTCGATTTATAAATTTACTTTTTTAACAGATTACTAATATTTTGTTTACAGCACAAGTCACAGACATGCGTATTGCGTGAAGCTATTTATTAAAACATAAACACAGACAAGTAATGATCTTAAAGCCTGTGCCTTGTGAAATGTGCTGTGGGAAGCGTTTATTAAGCACTTATGTCAACTAATATAATTTCTTTTTGCAACGTGCCATTTTATATTTTATTCCCAAACAATACAATTTTTTTGTCATATTTAGTATCGAGATGATTACGGTGAAACTATAGTAACGTCATGTCAACATACCAAAAATAATTATTGGGCACTGCTGCGACGTCAAATCTCACGACGGTTCTCTTTCCGCACAAACCCTACCATTAAAATGTTACAATTTGAGAGCCAAACTGAACATTTGTTAGAGGACGCAATTTTATTTATGAAACATGTAGAGGGTCAATACAAGCTTAAACCCAAGTTTGTGGGGTTGGCGCCCTTCTGCCCCCGCCGCCATCTTGGAGAAAGAGATGAAAACACGTTTTTGTTTTTAGGCGACGCGATGTAGACTTAATTTTGGCATGGTTGCGGTGCTGCCACGCGAACTGCGAAGCGCGCTTTTTACCTCGATAATATACAGTATTGCTGAATGCGGGATACTTTTTATTTGGTATTTTAAAACAGGTACAATTGGTGGTGAAGCTATCAATGTCTTTAGCGCGAACAAAGCACTATATTAAAATAATACACAAGTATATATTTATATAATTTATTATATACATTAAACTTGGTGTAAAAACTATTCTAAGTATTTAGGCATAAAACTTTTGACATTTAAGTAAAGACATTTTAGTCTTCTCGTCTATGCAACAATAACTGTAATTACTTAATACGTTTATATTTATTATTATAATTAAGATTTTCTGCAAAGAATTTTGTCTTAGTACTAATTATCACAGACGATGCTTCTATAAGTTTATGACAAAATTATATGTTCTATAAACTTTAAAGTCTGTATTATGAAATATGAAGAACACATCATCATCATCTCACACAGATTTAAGACTGTTATGTGACTTATAACGACTAACGTTTTAACAATTTATTTGTTGTCAGGTGCAATGTATAACTTTTCTATTGCAATTCAAATAAAAAACCTTTTTGTACTTAGTTGTTTTATAGTAATAACCACTTTTATATTATAATCATTATAGTGCACCTGTTCCTTTGTCTTTCAATTTCAACTAATATTCATAGAAAAGTTTGAGCACAAAGCACACTTGTCAAATTGTCATTTGATATAAAAATAATTTGTTCGGCTCCAGCCTAGAATTTCGAATTAGTAATCCGACATCCAGGTGGTAAGCACAAAACCATTCTTGGGTGGGCGAGCAACTCGGCCTCCCTCTATACACGTTTAAGAACTAATTGGTCCTGAATTATATAAAATTATAAATGTTAAATATTGTTTTATAAATAATAATATTATGTAGTCTGTATTGCTTTTAAATCTCCTGTAGTTGCTCTAAAAATACTACTAAGATTATCGTTTCGTTCCCATAAAAAAAGATTAGTTTGACTTTACGTTAACGTCCATAAAAATAATATTAAATCTTAAATATAAGTATTATGCAACGATTCCATCATATTATACCATAACGGCTGCAAGAAAAATATTTCCATACAATACTGGAACCCATACTAATTTGACTGTTTGAAATAAATTTGACAAGATATTAATATGGCAACAATAGAATCTCGCTGTAGGAGCTAAAAACTTTTTAGTGGGATATAATAATATTATTTTTTTAATCACATTTGGTTTCTAAACGTAATAATATATTATACTTCATTAATTATTATTGTAAACAGTTGCCTTATAGAGTAGCCAATAGGTCTTACGTTATAATGTAGTCTTGTGTCCTATCCTATTCTTAATTATTATGTGAGCATTTACCGGTTTTCCTTAAGATATGGTCTTTGGATAGACCAATTACGAATTAGTTAATTAGGTGTAGCCGAATAATTTAAGTTAATTAAGAATAGGATATACGGAAATATCAATTTAATCATATAAATGTCAATGGTCTGTTCCGTTTTCATTGTAGGAGAGGTCAGGTTCGTCTTCGCCATGAGAATGAGAGTGAGGCACTAAAAAAATACTTACATGATTACTATGCAAACAGAAATATTCGACTAATTACGCGTATAACAACGTTAGAAAACAAAAGGCGGAATAAATGAAAAGGTACTTATTGAACTTGCTTACAGAAAGAGGCGCGCTTGTATCTACTGAATAAAGTTTATAAGAAAAGAATATTTGCGTTGAGTCTAAATTATCCATGCTAATTACCATCACCGTTTTTGATCTGTGATACCTCTATATACTCTATTTGGTCATAGGTGGTGGTTTATTTCTTAAATTTATATTTTGAATATAATAATGTTAAGCTTACTTATTAACTGCAATCCAAACATCAAACCGAAGCCGAACAATGCAGCTATGTATTGCAAAATTCCGGATCTGTCGCCCTTCCAGATTTCGAAGAAAATAACATATAACAAGGTTCCAGACGCCAGGCCTTGTAGTATGACGGAATAGGAACCTGCTGCAGTGGCTCCCTTTCCCCCAACCATTAGTATACCAATTCCAATACCAAGTGGAGATACTATGCCAAATGTGGTAATGTAAATGATGGCCAAATAAGTCTTAGTACGAGTTGCAATCAACTCTACACCAATGCAAAAGGCTATGACAAGTTTGTGTGCAGAAATCGCTCCAAGCATATACCTGAGGAATAACATTATATTTATTTATCAGCGTAGTCATAATAATGACTGATGACTGATTGTTCTGTATATTTTTATCTCTGCCTTAGTATATTAATCCTTACTATTAAGAAAAATGACACCTAGTGGTGAAAAGACAAACTAAAATTATTTGGATTATAAGATAAAGAAACTAAATTAGCATTATACATTCGAGTCTATTTTATACGCATAGGGTTTAACATCAAAGTTATGGGACTTAAAATCTAATTTAAGTCTGTATATTTTTATTTCTGCCTTAGTACGTTCCTTACTATTAAGAAAAGTGACACCTAGTGGCGAGAACAAGAACTATTGATTTTTATTAGACTATAACGAAACTATTAGCAAATACGTGCGAGTGTGTTTTATACGCATGGGTTTAACATCAAAGTTATGGGTCTCACAATCTAATTGAAGTTACGAAAATATGAAACGTATGAAAATTGTCGTACGTACCATACATTTGATGTACTGGATTCCAAGCCTACGGCAAGGCCTTCAAACAGTTCATGTATAGATAGGGCAAGTACAATCAGAAGTCCACGGAGGGCAGCCGTTACGTTATCCACATCATTGATGGGCATATGACTATGGCCATTAGCGTGGCTATGCCCATGACTGTGGTCAGCGTTGTTGACTTCGATGTCCTGAGAAAATTATGCATTTGTTAGCTTATAAGCTATTGCAATTCGTGAACATAAGAAAATCAATTTTATTTAATTTAGTTTAAATATAGTTTTTTTTTTAACTAACTTAACCTCAAATAGGGTAGACATCTCTGCGTCCGTTTAAAGGATAGGAATGTCAACCACCTTCAGTCGACCTACCAAGTTGTTTTACCGGGAACCGAAGCCAAGATCTTTAGGTTACTGGCAAGCATTAGCTATGCCACAGAAACAGAGGCCGTGTTTTATTGTATGAAGATAATATTTTGCCTACTCACCTTTCCCTTAGTAATAGATGAGGGGTCAATGAGGTCTGATGTAGAATTGGTGACACTCTGTACGCCATTTTCTTCAGTCCTGTTGCTCCTCCTAATACTGAGGTTTCGAACCAAAGGTGCTACTGAACTGTTGCTCTTCTCTCTACACAATAATTACCAATGTCATACAAAAAAATACTTCGTGTTTAATAAAACCTCGACACTTTTTGGCCACAAATGGTGAAAATAATAATACATTAAATCGCTGAAAAATCATTTAAGTTGAAAATTAAAGACAAAATTATACTGTTTTTACAAGTAGTAGTGTAGATGTACAAGACGACAAAAGAAAAGATGGACCGATTACGTTATAGAACTAGTGGGGAAAAACTGCATGAATGTTGCTCAAGACAAAGAGAAATTGAAAAACATAGAGGAGGTTTTTAGCCTGAAAGAGGTCATACAAATAGACCACATAAAAAAGAAAAAAAAAATCTAACTTATTTTTTTATAACTTATACTAACATAACTAAATATTAAGAAACGTATACTAACAAATTGTTGTATGGATTCATTAATAAAGCTTTAATCATTTTTTTTAGATTATTAGGTTGTATAGTAATAAATAAAGTAGGTACTTCGTATTATCGTCAGTACGCATTTTGTAATAATGGCCCATGTCGATGGAGAGTTTTCATCGCCTCGAAGGTAATTAATTTAATCAAATTTGAGATCGTTGTAAGAAATTCTGAGGATTTTCTTAACAATGAGTACCTAAGAATTGTACCAAGCCTCTTAAGTGCCGTCTCTTTGTGTAAACGAAAGCACACAGATAGGAAAGTTTAGTTAAATCAGCGTAAAGACGGGCTGAAATGTATATTATTTACCTGTGATCTAGGTACATGTGTACTAACTCTTCTACGAGATACATGATGAAAAATCCACTGCACATAAGTAGAGAAGCTAGAGGAAGGTCTAAATTCTTCATGTAGCCTTCAGCTGGAAATAATACAATTTATATATACGAGGTGCGTAAATAAAAAAGGGGCATAAACGCAAAATTACACAACTCCCCGATCCTAGTGCTTTTTTGTAATCAGGATGTTTGAGTTTGGATAGGTAGAAAAGCGCCTAATAGTATAATGGGTTAAACACGTACTTTTTTCTAAGGTTTAAGAATAACTTTATTTCTCCAAAGATTTGCATACATAAATCACTTACTGAGAAACAATATGTAAAACTAGGATTAATAATTAGAGCGCACAGATGTACGTATGTAAAATAACAAAACAAAACAGCAACAAAAATGTGGGTAAACGGATAATAAACTCCATCAGTCAACCAAGAAAAACATAGATGTTCGAATTAGATTTTTTACTAGATTTGGCATTGATGGCATAGTCTGATATATCAAGTTTATATTTATTATTTATTATAAGACTATTTTATTTTTAGTTTATTGTTCTATTTATATATAACAATAACATAAAGGGCATCCCCTTCAAACTTTGAGATTGCTGGCTTGGAGAGAGGAGCTGGGACGACATAAACTGCAAATTAACTTTTGACGATCTTTTGATTTGTAGTACAGGTTTGGCGCGTACTAGGCTTTTGGCCGTAGGTGATGAGGCCGGCTACTGGCTTCACGCTTACCCTTCGTCAAATACAGGAACTTTTCTTGAGCCTGACACGCTTCGAATCGCAACCTGTCTACGGCTTGGGGTTCCGGTCTGCGCTCCTCATATATGTCCCTGTGGCAGTGATGTCGATAAGTTAGGACATCACGGCCTGTCATGCCAAAAAAGTGCAGGCCGCTTCTCGAGACATGCCGCACTTAACGATATCATACGTCAGTCACTTGCCACCGTCAACGTACCAAGTCTACTTGGACGAGTGGTATTGAAAGAGACGATGGCAAAAGACCGGACGGTATGAGTTTGATTCCATGGAATATGGGCCGGGTACTGGTATGGGATGCAACCTGTTCAGACACGCTGGCCCCTTCCCATCTACATGGAACCAACAACAGAGCTGGTTCGGCTTGTGAAGCAGCTGAAAAATCATGCAAATACAGATGTCTCGGCTCAGAATATGATTTTGTCCCATTCGGTGTCGAGACCCTTGGTCCGTGTGGTCCTAGCGCTTTAAGGCTTTTTAAAGAAATATCAAAAAGGTTAGTCGACATCACAGGAGGCCGAAGATCTGGCAGCTACCTCGGACAAAGAATTAGTCTAGCTATTCAAAGAGGAAACGCTGCCAGTATCTTCGGAACCTTGCCTAAAGGGACTCCTTTTAATAATATATTTTAGTTATTATATGTTAAGGTTAGTTATTTATTTATTCATTAGAACCCTCTAATTTAATTTATTTATACTGTTAATTTAATTAGAAGTTAACAATAACATATTATATACATACATCTATACATGGTTTATAAAACATTTTAAGTGTCGGGTTTTATTTGTTTTGTTTAATTAAAGTAATTATTAATGTATATTTTAAATTTAGTGTATGGTATATGAAAATTATTGTTGACTCAGGTTATACAAGTACATGTAAGTGTAAAAGTTACATGTAAAATTTAAAAAAAAAACCTTGTACATAAAGAAAGCTAAAATGATAAAATTCCCAGATTTTTTCGTTTAGCTACTTTCATATTTTGCGGTCATGTGGTCACTTTGTGTTTATATTTTTATACCAGATTAAGTTGTAACGCAAACATCTTATTTGCGTACAACTGTTTTACAATTATATTATACTTTTTTTTTTTTTATAGAACGGGGGGCAAACGGGCAGGAGGCTCACCTGATGTTAAGTGATACCGCCGCCCATGGACACTCTCAATGCCAGAGGGCTCGCGAGTGCGTTGCCGGCCTTTTAAGAATTGGTACGCTCTTTTCTTGAAGGACCCTAAGTCGAATTGGTTCGGGAATACTTCAGTGGGCAGCTGGTTCCACATAGTGGTGGTGCGCGGCAAAAACTGCCTTGAAAAACGCTCAGTTGTGGAACGTCGGACGTCGAGGTGATACGGGTGGAATTTCGTATTCTGCCTCGACGTCCGATGATGAAACTCAGCTGCAGGTATTAATCCGAACAACTCCTCTGAACACTCTCCATGGTAAATGCGGTAGAAGATGCAGAGTGACCCCACATCTCTACGCAACGCCAAAGGATCAAGCCGCTCGGAGAGGGATTGGTCGTCGACGATTCGAACCGCTCTGCGTTGTATACGGTCAAGTGGAAGGAGCTGGTACTGGGGAGCCCCCGCCCAGAGGTGAGAGCAGTACTCCATGTGGGGCTGAATTTGCGCTTTATATAGTTGCATGCGGTGGCCCGGAGTAAAGTACCGTCTCGCCTTGCTGAGCACACTAAGCTTTTTGGAGGCTAATTTAGCCTTTCCCTCCAAGTGACCGCGAAACTGAACGTCGCTCGATATGTCAACGCCAAGTATTCCAATGCTGGCTGTGGCTTTAAGAAGAGTGTTTTCGAAAAGAGGAGTAGCGACAAAGGGTGTTTTTTTAGCGGAAAACGCGCAAACTTGTGTCTTCTTGGGGTTAAATTGGACTAGGTTTTGTCTGCCCCAATCTGAGACTCCACGTAGTAGAGTTTCGACTTCAGACACAAGTTTGTTCCGGTACTCATCAACAACTGCCCGAGAAATACCTGCCCGGCCAGTGTAAAAAGTATCCCCAGTGCTGTCATCCGCATAGCAATGAATGTTGCTAAGTTTCAACATATCATTGATATGCAGAAGAAATAGGGTCGGGGATAGAACACAGCCTTGTGGGACCCCAGCGTTTACGGGTTTTAGGTCGGAACATGCTCCGTCGATGACGACCTTGATGCTCCGATCGGCCAGAAAGCTGGAGATCCAATCACGTAATTTCTCGGGAAGCCCATAGGCTGGAAGCTTCGAGAGCAGTGCTCTGTGCCACACCCGATCGAAGGCTTTCGCTATGTCCAAACTAACCGCTAGCGCCTCCCCCTTGGACTCAATTGCCTCTGCCCATCTATGTGTAAGGTATACAAGAAGGTCACCAGCCGAACGACCACGACGAAAGCCGTACTGATAATCGCTAATCAGCTGGTGGCCCTCTAAATACCTCAAGAGCTGGCAATTAACAATGGATTCCATTATTTTGGAGAACAAGGAGGTTATAGCTATAGGGCGATAGTTGGACGGATCAGAGCGATCGCCTTTTTTAGGGATCGGATGTATCAAAGCGGTCTTCCAGCACTTCGGGACAGTGCCGAGCGAGTAAAGGTACCGGAAAAGGCGCGTTAAGACCGGAGCCAACTCAGGAGCACAAGTACGCAGCACAATTGGGGGGATACCATCCGGCCCGCTCGACTTATGAATGTCCAAGGAAGATAGTGCTTTGCGGACAGCACGTTGCCGACTTAACTAAATTTAATAAAAGGAAATAAAACAGACTCACTTATGTATACAGAAAGAACAGAATAAGAAGAGATAATATAACATTTTACAGAGACCAAAAAAGATATTCATTTGTCGTATTCCTGATCACTAAAGGTCGTGTTTAGATGTTCTCCTTTCTGTTTCCGATCATTAGCTACTCTACTGCTGTTCTGGAGCTGTAGCCGCGCTTTGGTCACACCCCTGGCGATGTGCGTGGCTTTTTTCTCTTCCACCATAACTTATTCTCAATAGGGCTTTAGGTCGTAAACCTAAAGTTGTTAGGTACTAGAAAAAATTATGACTACAAGCCAGTGCTCTTCGCGCAGAAAAGCCTAAGACCCGTATGTCAGAAATATATTGGATTTGATACACGTGATTCATGAGTGTCTCTAAATTTAACAAAATGTTTTCCTTAAAAGTTTCACAAGTGCGTATTAACACTAGATCGACAGCAGATTGCATCTTATCAATCTCTTATCTTTGCATATTAAATAATTTTTATTTTTATGAACAAGTACGAGTGATGATTAGCCTTCTGACACATGTCGACTTTTTGATTTGAGGCACGCTTCCTGACGAAATTTATTAAATAACTTATCCTCGACCGCGCTTAAAAGAAAATAAATTTAAACGAGCTACTTTAATTTAATATTATTATAAGCGATCCTCAGATTTGATGTAGGTATTTAAGATTTCTTTAACCTTTTGGTTAAAGCATACGAAATAATGTGGATTACAGTAAAAGCTCGAGATTTCTGGGAAACCTGCTGATAACAAATGTTTGGTCACTAAATAAATTTAATAGGTGAGCCTCTTGTTTATTGACTTATGATCCAAAAAAGACCAAATTTAGAAGACAAAAAAATCAAAATAATTTTATAAGGTAACATAACGTTAATTACTCAATGACACTATTTTTGTCAACTTACGCTTATTTATAGAACACAATATATTCGCTAACTCCGTGCATAGTGTTTAAAACATAATAAAGTTTTTAAATTTTAGACAATACCAAATGCAATGAGATTATTTAATTTTTGGATTTATCGCAAAGCATATTCTACTCCAGATAGATATAATATATTCTGGTCTACTAGATTTAATATTATTGTAACCGTATTTAAAATAGAATTATCTCACTTCTAGATTTTATATAAGATAATAAAATATGCTGTTAATGTAAGCATTAAATGTGGGTCGTTCCAATAGAATGAGTATGTGATAATGACACAAGAACATTCTACGGGTTAGAGATTATTCACTGATTTGATGATTGTTTGGATAAACATGATTGATTGTTTGGATAGCCCCAACTTGAAAAATCAGACTAATTATGTTATCAATTTGACCTTATCAATAAGGAAAAATATGGTTTCGTACAATTTTGATTTATATCTCGCTGTTCTGTAGTATATTATGCGTTCATGTAATTCCATAAGATTAATATCAAAATATAAAAATCTGTTGTTTATAAATTAATGGATATAGTGTGGTCAATGTCATGTAATCTTATTTTTTTTGGTTATTTTATTTTTTAATTGCTAACTATCTATTATATTACTTTTTTATTTTTTTTTATTAAACAATAACACACTAAGACATAATTTTTACTAACTCTTAACTAAAACAATATATAAATATAATCTAAAACAAATAAGTTATTCTATAATAACTAAAATATATTATTGAAAGGAATCCCTTTAGGCAGCATTCCCCCTTTGAATAGCTAGACTAATTCTTTGTCCGAGGTAGCTGCCAGCTCTCATGTATTGTCGACTAAGCTCTTTGCTTTTTTTTAAATATATATATCCTATATATTTTATATGAAATAAAGCTCCCAAATAGTAGAATTTATAAAAATTACAAAAGTTTGAGCCTATGAAAAGTATAAAAAAAGCTACAACTTTACTACGAGCATAAGATTAATACTGAATAATAAATATATTAGGTCCTTACATATGAAATTGGCGTATTTCGTACTGGCCACTTTAATCACGATGTTCTCCTCTTTGGTAAGGAGTTCCAAATTCAAATTTGTACAGCTATTTACTCATGTATTTGTGCTTCGATGACCGTCATTCATTTGTTTTTTTCTTCTGTTTTTTCTGTTTGCGTCACTCATTTTACAAAATGGAAAACTTAAAGTATCGCATTATTTACGAGTACGAGATCCGCCGTGGCACTAGTGCTGCGGAAACGACTCGAAGGGTGAATGAGGCGGTTTCCTCACGATGTTTTCCTTCACCGTTCGAGCGAATGTTAAATGCACACATAGAAAGAAAGTCCATTGGTGCACAGCTGGGTATCGGACCTTAGGGATGCCAGTCGCAGGCTGAAGCCACTAGGCCAATACGCTCATTACGACATTACCTACGCCATATTTGTAAGAAAAATATCGCGCGATTTAGATCAAACATATTTCGCAAGTAACATTATTTTATTAAAATAAAAAAAATCATCGTTTTGTAAGGTTTTATAACGGTTAATTTAAATTTAAGCATTATTGTCACCTTATTCTTTGATTTCCGTCATATTTAATTAGTTATTAATTATCTACACTGCGATGGCGATGAGTGAAGCAATATAATCTGGTACTTAGGGAATTAGATCGATAAAGAAAATAGAAGTACTCGACGTTGATCTCTTATAAACTTACTCGACAAGCTTGCTTTTGCGGAAAAAGATTTTGTAAAGTCCTGTTTTTCACAATTTTTTAAATACGCTAACTAATTATACTTCTAGGTGTCTGGTGTGCATATTTCTAATACTTCCGTATCATAGTTTGACAAGCCAGCCATGATATTATATGGTTTGTAAAACCTTATTTAAATTCATTGCTATTTTTTTAAATTTAAATTGTCAGTGAAAAACATAAACGCTATCAAAAAAGAAATTAACTGCCAAAACTGTTGAATGAAATATATAAAAACATTTATCGCCTTTGTTAATTCAAACTTCTACTGAAATATCCTAATTTGTAATTGCGGTGAACGGTCACTGACATACATATCCACTGACGTTTACGCAACCATTAGATAATAGTGACACTAATCACTATATATTAAAAACGTATGTCAATGAGCAATGGAAATATCGAATAGATTTTCTCACACTTTTCTCCAAGAAAATTCATAGGTAGAAAACTCCAGTCGGGAACGGAACTGATAAATGTTCTCATAAATGTTTTGTTTCTCCGTTTATTTGCTGTGCCCCATAATGTAGGTATTTAGTATTTACGACAAATGGTGACCTATTTCCACTAATAAATAAGACAAGGATATTTGTAAATAAATGTTATTAATAATTTATTTGTTGTACCTCTGTTATTATTTTGTTAGTTATTAATTTTGCTCAACTATGTAAATATCCGTTAGTCACGACATTTTAGTTGTTTTATTCGCAATTTTAATTATTATAAAAAGTTACTACATATGTTACATCACGTGAATGTCGAGGCTATTCAACCCCTTGACACCACGGGCCTAGTGAGTAGACTAAAGGACTAAACCATTTGGACTACTGAATTAGCGTTAGTGCACGTTAGTCTTAAGTGCTAAACAGTGGTAAGTGAAAAAAATATAACACAAGAATAGAGTGGTTTTCATTTGGTAAAAAATTTAAGTCGTGTTATTGGACACTTTCTTATGTTAAATATCCTTATTAGTAAATTAGATTAGACGTCAATTACTTATTAGTCTTAAGTTAGGCTAGATGGTAATTTTCCAAGACACATGTATTTAAAAAAAAATATCTGTTACAAAACTCACAGAAAATGGAAATAAAATCTTTAACGACAGGTCAAATTTAGCTAAGACACCAGTAAAATAAGCCAGTTTCAATCAATCTTCAGATTCCGCGCTAATACTATCCGGTTACAATAAGTGTCTAACATCGACTATATACTAGACCTATTCAGTTTTTAATTATATATTTAGTGGTAGCAATTAACAAAGAACAATCAACTTTAAAACAGCAGACAATGCAGCCGAAACTAGTTTGCAATTATGAAGAACCCTTTCCGCTAATGTTTTGACATTTACCGGCGACTTCCAAATAATGAAAAATTCTCTTTGTTTTTAAAATATTTAGTGGACATTCTTACGTTTTTACGTCGTCCATTCCATTTAATTTTATCAATTTAACCTGCGTGTTTGCCGAAAGATTATTTTGGAGACATTTCATAGATCACAAGGACACGATATTCATAAAATACAGATTAGACTTCAGTGTCTGCAAACGCGCAAAAATTTTGCAGGTAAAAAAATGCATTTGCTATTCGGGAAAAAATTTATGTCCATTAATCGGAATATACGTTCGTTATTAATTAGCTTTACGACGTTAGCATTAGATTATTGAAGAAGATTTTTAAAGTTGAATCGTGCATGTTAAATAACAGAAATAAAAGCTTACCAACTAGTTGGTCGATGTTGTAGTTCACTCCTGGTAAAAGGTGCATGAGGGTGGTACACAATAGAACTCCTCCTCCAAACGAGAGAAGTGAAGCCACAATTCTATTAGAGGACTTAAGGTTTTCGGCTTCATTTGGAGTTATCCATCGGAACCGTTTCGCGAGCAACATAGGAACAATACCACAGAGCATGGATGCACAGAATAGAACTGCCATAGACACTCCCTTGGCAACGATAACACCCTGGCTTTCATCGTAGTCGCTGAGGCTCATCGTAATGTTCTCCATCTCTGCCGGTGCAAGAGTGGTGTTTGTGTAACATGGGATGAGTTTTTATAGCGGTTTATCAGTGCGCGTGCGCCGGCTTTGAGCGACGCGTTTGTACTATAGAACGTCATTGAGGCACGTTGGCCAGTTCGTTCAGTGTATATTAAATAAAGGGTAGTATTGAAACACAAATAAAAAAAAAATACTTTTGTAGCAACAACTTTTGGTTATTTATCTTAAAGCAAAGCATTTTTACCAATGCACAGCTAATAATACTAATGCACATTATACTTCTTTTTTTTTAAATATAGCTCAAATTTGTATATTACTTACAGCAGTTTTTCTAAATAAAACAGCATTTTATTGGTCATAATCGTCTTATTATTTATTAATTACGACATAATGAGATCAGTAAAAAAATATAAAATTAGATACAAATAGTAACTTTTTTTAATAATAATATACTAACCTAACCAAACCGAACAATAATAATAATACATTTTTGGATAGCTCCGGCGCTACGGGAAATGCAGCCCCTCCACCCTTGCGTACCAAAGCACAGCCTTGCGATTCTGTAACTTACTTTTCGAACTCACACAGCGGTTTTCACAGCGGCCATCGCGCTCAAATCTGTGCGCTGTGCACAGCGGTTTTCGCTTATAAACAATAAACTACAAGCTCTGACTAAGACTGCTTCACGACTGATTTGAGCGCGACCGCCGCTGTGAAAACCGCTGTGTGAGTTCGAAAAGTAAGTTACAGAATCGCAAGGAAGGCATTTTATTCAAGCTTCCGCAGCCTCAGCTTTTTAGTCACCTTCGGCGCTGCGGGTGGGGACTGCTCTTCCTCCGCGCCTACTGTTTTAAAATAACACTCAAGGGGTAAAACTGACTATAAATATTTAAAAAAAAACTATTATTTTTATTCATCGATTTTTCATGCTAAAAACAATCGATTAATTAAAAAAACGATTTTTTAAAGAGAATGTCACATCTCTCATAACCAATAGAAAAGTAGAAAATGTACGGTTTGTTTACGAATTTCAATACAAGTAGCGGCACGAAACTCACGCTGACCGTTATTTGCGCAGAAGTAAAAAATAAGGTACCTGAGGGGGCTAGCGGAATGAAGAAGCGTCGATTGGCTCTCCAGTCGCATTCCGTCCCCCCACCGATACACACATCGCAGCAATCCCCTCCACGTATCGGCCAGCGCTAGACTTACGTGCCGCTGCCTATACATTACACAAAAATTTTAATAATTTTTTTAAAACTAAGACGCAACTCCGGCAGTAAAAATCACATGTAGGTGTTCCAATCAAGGTCCCACGAGTCACCTACATAGTCAGTATCATCAAATTCGGGCGACGTAATTCTAAATCAAACCCCTAATTACACATAAATATTTCAATTATTGTTTTTTATCAGGTTATCCGGGGCGCCGGCACAACGCAACATTAAATGAATATAAACAAACAAATGAGAACCCCAAACAAATGTACGTGGACTGCGTAAAACAACACAGGTACTCGTACACTGACGAAATATTTATATGGGGTTAACTCCCGATATATGCAATGAAAAAAGAAATTGTTGCTACAATATTATTCAATTGGCCGAGCATGTCTTCTTGAAAATTACGACAAATATGATAAGCAAGTTTTGTGGTGCTTAATAATATATATGCTACTTGGATAGTTATTTTGCTTTGACAACCTGTATTATCTACATGCGCTTCGGTTAATTTGCTGTACAATATAATTGTCAGTATTTATGATAAGCATGTAGTATTTTTGTACCTAAATAAATTTATTTGTATCGCATTGTGAGGAAAAAAGTAATGTCATTCTGATGATGTCATATTTTAGAATTATCTGCAGTACTTGTTTTGTTAAACATTTAGTTTATTTGTAATGAAGTAATTTAATTGATGTTAAAAGCATATAAATGATGAAAATATATTGATATGCAATTTAATATTTGATGTGCAATTAATAATTTCCCTTAAATGCTACACGTATATAATGACATTGAAATGGAACCATAGACCCCGACATTGCGAACTCTACCAGGTCGCCTCTAAATATTGTCTGTTATGGTTCGTTCGGTTATAAAATATGTTGCTTTGGAAGATCCATATTCCATACATTATCCATATTTTACACAGAGAAAGTAAGGCGTTTCTTGGCTAAACAAATATAGTTATAGACGTTTAAAGTGCAAAACATGAGACATGTGACTCAATCTTCAAATACAGTACAGTAATTGATCTTACAAAAGAAATACCTGTACTTGTAAATGTTGAAATTCCGACTCACCTATTTTTTTTTTGGCGTTTTTTTTTGTGGTTGTTTTCCGGGCCGGCGGGGGGGGGGGGCCCCCCCTTTAAAAATTTTTTTTTTTTTTTTGGGGGGGGTTTTTCCCCCCCCCCCCCCTTTTTGGCCTTTTTCCCTTTTTTTTGTTTTTGGGGGGGGGGGGGGGGGGGGGGGGGGGTTTTTTTTTTTTGAAATAAACATAATAAACATATTAATGCGTCGTTGCATTTATCATTTGAAAAATAACTATATGTTATATCCCTAGGCCTATGTCCCAGAGAAAGACAGCATAGACAATTTCCTCGTTTTAAAAGAAACATTCGCGTTTTTTAATTAGAAAATTATTAGTAGCCAAAGACTATATGTCGCAAAATGTATTTCGACATTTGTTCATGTGCTCAGACAGGTACAGGACAGACATCTTTCCGCCTTTGAAGACAATAATTTTTACACAATCTCAGTCAAGATATCATTTTATTACCTCCTAATATCATATACCAGGCTGAACAAATAGTATCAATGTGACGAATATTCTAACTTGATTAATTTTAGATAAATATCAAATGTTTTAATTAACATATAAACAACAACCAAATTACAGAATATAAAAGTAATACTTAATAACCTTAAAATATAATATAATAACTAAAATATATTATTAAATGCAGTCCCATTAGGCAAGGCTCCGAAGATACTGGCAGCTAGATAATTAGTCTAGCTATTCAAAGTGGGAACCTTTGAATAGCTAGTAGACTACTTCTTTGTCCGAAGGAGCTGCCAACTCTTCGGTCTCCTGTGATGTGACTAACCTATTTGCTATTTCCTTAAGAAAGCGTTTCTAGCTTCTTCCAAGCCAGCAATCTCAAAGTTTGAAGGGGAGATTTGCTGAACTTTGGACAGAAGAAGCCTTCCTAGGCTGGTAAAGCACCATAACGGATGGGTAGAGATGGTTGGGTCCAAGATTGCTCGTTCAGCTGCAATTAAAAAATTGATTCTAAGGTTATTTTGATGAAGTAGTCTACTTGTGACAAATGATAGAATTTTAAGATGCAAAGTACATAATATGATCTAATTTCAAGACGGTCAGCAGAATTTTGAAATTTAGTAATTAAATTATCAGAAATAGATTGAACAAATATGAAGTAATGTAATATTATTAAAATTTATACCTACATCTTTATTAAAGTCTCAGCAAAAATAAGAAAATATTTTATTCGAAAAGGCCACCTTTGGCCTTTATACGGGCCTTTAATCTGTTTGGTCACGAATCTATGGATTTACGCACCGTTTCCAGGGGAAATTTCTCCACTGCTTGCCCCAAAGATTTATTAAGTGACTCAATGTCGCCGTGTCGTTTAGAGCAGGCCATGTCCTATAAAACTGACCATAATTTGAAGTCTAAAAGGTTGAGGTCTGGGCTAGATAAGGGCCAAGGTCTTCAGCTCTTATAAAGTCCGGAACGTTGGTTTCAAGCCGGCTTGGTTAGGTTAGGTCGTCCTTGTAACCAGGTGCAGCATCCTGCTGGAAAGTCCACGGAATATTTTAAAAAAGTGTTATGCTGAGAGGTTTCACAACATGTTCCAAGACTATATCTTGATACACTTTGGATGAAGTTTTCACTCCTTTTTTCACAAAAATGTAGTTTTGTGACTCCTTGATAAGACACGCCCCACCAAACCATCTAACGTAGAATGATGACCACCTTTTCTATCACTTGAGCAGCTTCTTTAGAACTGTGAGCGAACACTTTTTCATTTTGCTTATTGTAGTGTTCTTCTTAGCGGGAATCTTCATTTCTCGCGATAATATTCTTTGCTTCGACGAATACATTTTAGCTTTAACAGCATTAATAGCCTTTGGTTTTCCAACAGCACTCGGCCACCCCGATCTTTTCTGGTCTTCGACAGACGAAGTCTTGTTGTATCTGTGGATGGTACGCTATACGAGCTCCTACGGCTGATCCAAGCCTTTGAAGGTTCTGAAATATGATCGACGGCGCAATATCCACTTTGTGCAAGCTGATCACTGCAATCCTATTTTGTTTAACACCCCATTCCATATCATAACGTGATAACTAACACGAAAAAATATGTGAAATGGCGCAAAATCGAAATTACATAGAAAAGAAAGAGAAGAAGATAGAATAAAATCAGTTTGAAGGTCTGTTTTCCCAAAAAAATATGTCAACGCTTGCTAGATAGTGTGAGGTTTAGGTGGCAGGGTTTTAATGGAAAATTTTACTTTTACCTCGATATACAGTATTGCTGAATGCGGGATACTTTTTATTTGGTGTTTTAAAACAGGTACAATTGGTGGTAAAGCTGTCAATGTCTTTTAGCGCGAACAAAGCACTATATTAAAATAATACACAAGTATATAATATTAATATAATTTATTATATACATAAAACTTGGCGTATACAATTATATACAAAAAACTAATCTAAGTATTTAGGCATAAAACTTTTGACATTTAAGTAAAGACATTTTTAGTCTTCTCGTCTATGCAACAATAACTGTGATTACTTAATACGTTTATATTTATTATTATGATTAAGATTTTCTGCAAAGATTTTGTCTTAGTACTAATTATCACAGACGATGCTTCTATAAGTTTGTGACCAAATTATATGTTCTATAAACTTTAAACTCATAGACAACATATTATGAAGAACACATCATCATCATCTCACACAGATTTAAAACTGTTATGTGACTTATAACGACTAACTTTTCTATCGCAATTCATATAAAAAGCATTTTTGTACTTAGTTATTTCATAGTAATAATCACTTTAATATTATAATCTTGATAGTTCGCCTGTTCGTTTGTCTTTGAATTTCAACTAATATTCATAGAAAAGTTTGAGCACAAATCAAACTTGTCAAATTGTCATAGGATATACAAATAATTTGTTCGCATAATTATCATTGGCATGGATTTTATAATAGGAGTCCTCCAGCCTAGAATGTCCAATTAGTAATCCGACATCCAGGGGGTAAGCACTAAACCATTCTTGGGTGGGCGAGCAACTCGGCCTCCCTCTATATACGTCTAAGAACTAACTGGTCCTGGATTATATAAATGTTAAATATTGTTTTATAAATAATAATATTATGTAGTCTGTATTGCTTTTAAAATTCAAGGACATTTTGTACAAATTGAACATTATTTGCAGAATTAATGTAAAACTTAATTATAATTATTACTGACTAGACAGACTTTTACAAAATCTCCTGTAGTTGCTCTAAAAATACTCCTAAGATTATCGTTTCGTTCCCATAAAACGTATTTAAAGATTAGTTTGACTTTACGTAAATAAAATCCATAAAAATAATATTAAATCTTTAAGTATTATGCAACGATTCCATCATATTATAACATATACATAACGGCTGCAAGAAACATATTTCCATACAAAATTGGAACCCATACTTGGACTGTTGTGTCTAACAGTTATCGAAATAAATTTGACAAGATATTAATATGGCAACAATAGAATCTCGCAGTAGGAGCTAAAAACTTTTTAGTGGGATATAATAATATTATTTTTTTGTTCACATTTGGTTTCTAAAAGTAATAATATATTTTACTTCATTAATTATTGTACAGTTGCCTTATAAAGTAATAGGTCTTATGTTATAATGTAGTTTAGTGTCCTATCCTATTCTTAATTATTATGTGAGCATTCACCGGGTTTCCTTTAGACCAGACCAATTACGAATTAGTTAATTAGGTATAGCCGAAAAATTTAAGCTAATTAAGAATAGGATTTACGGAATTATCAATTTAATCATGTGAATGTCCATGGTCTGTTCCGTTTTCATTGGAGGAGTGGTCGTGTCCATCTCCACCATGAGAATGAGTGTGAGGAGCTGAAAAAAATACTTACGTTATTACTATGCAAACGGAAATTTCGACTAATTACGCGTATAACAACGTTAGAAAACAAAAGGCGGAATAAATGAAAAGGTACTTTTTGAACTAGCTTACAGAAAGAGGCGCGCTAGTATCTACTGAATAAAGTTTATAAGAAAAGAATATTTCCGTTGAGTCTAAATTATCCATAATTACCATCAACTTTTTTGAGACCAATATTTGTGATACAGTTTCCCCTGGCCATAGGTTGCTTGCTTTATATTTTGAATATTATAATGTTATGCTTACTTATTAACTGCAATCCAAACATCAAACCGAAGCCGAACAATGCAGCAACGTATTGCAAAATTCCAGATCTGTCGCTCTTCCAGATTTCGAAGAAAATAACATATAACAAGGTTCCAGAGGCCAGGCCTTGTAGTATGACGGAATAGGAACCTGCTGCAGTGGCTCCCTCTCCCCCAACCAGTAGTATACCAATTCCAATACCAAGTGGAGAAACTATGGCAAATGTGGTGATGTAAATGATGGCCAAATATGTCTTGGTACGAGTTGCAATTAACTCTACACCAATGCAAAAGGCTATGACAAGTTTGTGTGCAGAAATCGCTCCAAGCATATACCTGAGGAATAAAATATAATGTTATTAAAACTTTAGATAATAATGACTACGCTGATTGCTCTGTATATTTTTATCTCTGCCTTAGTACGTTAATCCTTACCATGAAGAAAATTATGACACCTAGTGGTGAAAAGACAAACTAATATTATTTGGATTAGAAGATAAAGAAACTAAATTAGCAAATACATGTGAGTGTATTTTATACGCATAGGCTTAGCATCAAAGCTATGGGTCACAAAATCTAATTTAAGTCTGTATATTTTTATTTCTGCCTTAGTACGTTAATCCTTACTATTAAGAAAAGTGACACCTTGTGGCGAGAAGACAAACTGTTTATGTTTATTAGACGATAACGAAACTATTAGCAAATTCGTGCGAGTGTGTTTTATACGCATGGGTTTAACATCAAAGTTAAAGGTCTCAAAATCTAATTGAAGTCACGAAAATATGAAACGTATGAAAATTGTCGTACGTACCATACATTTGATGTGCTGGATTCCAAGCCTACGGCAAGGCCTTCAAACAGTTCATGTATAGATAGGGCAAGTACAATCAGAAGTCCACGGAGGGCAGCCGTTACGCTATCCACATCGTTGATGGGCATATGACTATGTCCATTAGCGTGGCTATGCCCATGACTGTGGTCAGCGTTGTTGACTTCGATGTCCTGAGGAAATTGTGCAGTAGTTAGCTAATAAGCTATTGTAATTCGTAAACATGAGAAAACCAATTTTATTCAATTTAGTTTAAATATTGTTTATTTGTTTGAACTAACTTAACCCCAAATAGGGTCCGCGTCCGTTTAAAGGATAGGAATGTGAACCACCTTCAGTCTACCTACCAAGTTGTTTTAACGGGATCCGAAGCCAAGATCTCTAGGTTACAGGCATGCATTAGCTATGTCACAGAAACAGTGGCCGTGTTTTAATGTATGAAGATAATATTTTGACCACTCACCTTTCCCTTAGTAATAGATGAGGGGTCAATGAGATCTGATGTAGAATTGGTGACACTCTGTACGCCTTTTTCTTCAGTCCTGTTGCTCCTCCTAATACTGAGGTTTCGAACCAAAGGTGCCACTGAACCGTTGCTCTTCTCTCTAAAAAATAATTACCAATGTCATACAAAAAAAAACTTCGTGGTTATTAAAACCTTGACTCTTTTTGGCCACGTATGGTGAAAATAATAATACATTAATTCGCTGAAAAATCATTTAAATTGTAAATTAAAGACAAAATTATACTGTATTTACTATGGTAGGTAATCATATTTTTCGTACTGAAAAGAGATGTACAGGACGACAAAAGAAAAGATGGACAGATTACGTTATAGAACTAGCGGGGAAAAACTGCATGGATGTTGCTCAGAAATTGTAAAATATAGAGGAGGTTTTTAGCCTGAAAGAGGTCATCATACAAATATACCAAATAATAAAAAATAAAAATAAATCTAACTTATTTTTTTAGAACTTATACTAACCCAACTACATATTAAGAAATGTAAACTAACAAATTGATGTATGGATTCATTAAAAAAGCTTTAATAATAATAATTATAATATTTTTACATCATTAGGTACTATAGTAATAAATAAAGTAGGTACTTCGTATTATCGTCAGTACGCATTTTATAATAAAGACCCATTTAGATGGAGAGAGGTCATCGCCTCGAATGTAATTAATTTAATCAAATTTGAGATCGTTGTAAGAAATTCTGAGGATTTTCTTAACAATGAGTCCAAAGAAAATATTATTTACCTGTGGTCTAGGTACATGTGCACCAACTCTTCTACGAGATACATGATGAAAAATCCACTGCACATAAGTAGAGATGCAAGAGGAAAGTCGAACTTTTGCATGTAGCCATCAGCTGGAAATAAAAAAAAATCTTTGTAGGCAATTTAAATATAGATACGTGCGTAAATAAATAAGGGGCATAAACGCAAAATTACACTACATTAAACTCTCCGATCCTAGTGCTTTTTAGTCATCGTGGTTAGAAAGTAAAGATAAGTTTCTTTGAAAACTCGCGTTTATTTGAGATTTTTTTTAAATTGTACTCGCATTAACCAAAATCATTTTTGTAGTTTTGCGTGTCTTTGAACTTTTTGATAACATTAATAACAATTAATGAGTAGTGTTGAGTCGCCCCTTTATAATTTGAGAACCTGTTTTGTTGCACAGCTCACAAAATCATTAGTAGAAATTTCGCCATCTAACCGATTCGTACGCATGTTTCGTGTTCGTGCATCTACTTTTAGTTGGTAAAAACTAAACATCTCCACATAAATGCCAGCCTAATAGCGAGAATTTTACCTTACCTATGCCTAACACACATCAAAGACACTCTTGTAAGAATGATGACAAAAAAACCATCACACACAAACACACTACGCACAGTACTATTAAACATAATTTTTAAAATACGATCATTTTTCCAATCTTACTAAATATAATATGGAGGTACTAAGGAAATGTCATCAATATTTCATTATACGCACGGAGCAATTTCATCAACAAAATTCCCAAAATGACTGAAATAAATTGGTTGAGAGCAAGTTCGACTTAATTGAAGACATTGACCTACGATATTTCTTTGTTACGCAAGACGTAACACGTCATACTTTGGCATTGCTTTATTGAGTAATAAAGTAATAACTTGACTACTCTATATGAATAAATTATTAAATAAAAAAATATTTATGATTTATGCTTATGATAAACAAAATCATATTAAAAAAATACAACAGTATACAGTTAATCGCGTAGCTCATTACTTTGACAATACCAATATTAAATATAATTAAGTTTTTAAGACGCATTGAAATAAAGAGCTTCGAATAATTGGAGGAAAAATCGTAACGTCATTATCGAATATTCAAATCGTCTTTGTTATACAAATTAGCTATTAAATTTGCGTCCGCTAAACAATGCATGCGAGACGCACTATGAATATTTTAACGTACAATTGATCTTCAATCAGACTAGAATTCGACAGCTTTGCCTACAAATGACTAATCCCTAAGACGTCTCACCGTCGTTCTCTTAGTGGTCGCCTACATAAAAAGATTAAATTAAATAAAAATTCATTATTTATTTGCAAATACTGATACTGATAGACAATATTCAATAGGTATTTGACGTATCACTACATATTATAAAACATAGGCGCTTTCTCTGTCCCTATATCCCTAATATGTATGCTTAAATCTTTAAAACTACGCAACGGATTTTGATGCGGTTTTTTTAATAGAGTGATTGAAGAGGAAGTTTTATATCTATAATAACATCCATTAAATATTGGAGAAATACTGTTATTTTTGAGGTTTCTAATGTGATGTCGTAAATAATTACATTTTTTCCACTTGCAAACGCGACCTTGCCTACGAGATTTATCAAAATAGTGTACTAAGTATTGTACACATTGAAAAGGTCTACAGAAAACTCCGCGATGGTATATGTCTATCTCTTATGGATATCCCACAAATTTTTTTTTTGTATTTACTTTTTACGACAAATAATGGCTAATTTTCGAAGCGATTTTAACCAAAACAGAAGCCTTATCCAATTAAATACCTTAAATTCATTGTTGATTTAATAAAGATCTTCGAAAGGCCGCGGTTTTCCCTATAGCACTTTGAATTTAGTATCAGCATTGCACCCGTGCGAAGCTAGGGTGGGTCGCTAGTCGTTTATAAATAAGAGAGTACTAGAGTTGCCTACTGTTATAGTAATGTGATGCTTAAAGAGTTAATCATTAATTATTAGTTAAAATACCAAAAAATATTATATTGTTGCAATTGATTAAAAAAACAGATGAAGTTGTGATAATTTGTATTAACAGTATGAACGTGTGTACATTTACGGTAAATTTACGAGATAATTTCTCATATTTTTTATTACATTTTACGGTAAGGTATCATTCACTTTTTAATTATTGCATACACTTTATAGTATATTGTTTTGTGTAAATAATTGATAATTAAAAAAAGAAACCAGTGGTGTTACAACCTCTTTAGGTCTGGGCCTCAGATTTCTGAATCTGTTTCATGATGATTTTTCAATCTAATAGGCAAGTAAGTAGGTGATCGGCCTCCTCTGTGCCTGACACACGCCGTCGACTTTTTGGGTCTAAGACATGTCGGTTTCCTCACGATGTTTTCCATTGAACGATTATTAAATGCGCACATGGAAAGTCCATTGGTGCACAGCCGGAGACCAAAGCTACGACCTCAGGGATGAGAGTCGCACGCTGAAGCCACTAGGCCAACACTGCTCGAAATAACTGATAATATTAATATATAATAAGAACAGTATCCTGGTTTAGAAACTCTTTAACCCTAAAGTTGAAATTCGGAGAGCACTTCATCTTCTTACGTTTAACTTTATTATATATTCTTAGACCAATAGGTCGGCCCTGCTACCGCTGGGTCTACAGAGTTGAGGAGGACCTGCTGCAGCTGGAAGCCAGCTATTGGCGGGAGGAGACACAGGGCAGAGAGCGTATATTCTTAAGATAAGTGTACTGTTTCATTTTAATATGTGTAGGACAGAAAATAAGAGAACATCGAAAAGGCGACGCGTAATTTGCCAGATTCTGCGTGGTTCTCGTGTATACTTTTAGTATAAAATAATCTCTACTGCGCATCTAGTAACAATTGACAGTATATTTACTGTGTTCGGTAAATATATATGTGTCGTATAATTTGAAGACTACTTCGTATTGTCATTGAAATATGCTCAATATGATATGCAGGGTATCAAACTTGAAGATATCATCAAACCTTAATTAATAATACAGTTTTATTTAGGATAGCGTTCGTACAGTTTTTCAGTGCTTTTAGACTTCAAATAAAAAATAAAACAAAACAGCTCATACTTTTTTCTCTTTTTATTACATTTGACAGAAAGAGACGAATGTCAGTAGTTTAATAGGCAGATATAACTTTATCCATATTCACCGTTTAACTTAAGTATGTCAGTGTTCTTCATAGCGTTAATTAAAGGAAACCGAAAGTATAATTATATAATTACTGCTTACGGACACCCATTAAAAATGGGCATTGCCGGCCTTTGAGGGAGGAGTATACTCTTTCTTTAAACAAGTGGAGGTCGTATCTCTCAGGAAAACCCAATCGGGAGTCGATTCCACAGTTCGCTAGTTCGCAAAAGAAAAGAGTTATTTTATAATTATATATAAGTTTATCTCGTATTGTAATATACAACATATATTTGTTTTTTATAAAACAGGGGGCAAACGGACCTGTTGTTAGCGAGTGCGTTGCCGGCCTTTTAATTAATTGTATTGGATATTAATTGAAATATTTATTACTTTAATCGTCAATTGTTATGAATAAAAGCTTCCCTTGACATGCCGAATTACTCCGCGCCATAAGTATAGTTGTAATCGGTGACCTAACATTGACTTGGCCTCGAATAAAAGTTATTTGGAACCTCTTCAAGAATTTCGTCCAAGGAAATACGAAATAAACCTTTAAGCCTCTTGAATTTTTCGACATTGGTTTCACTTTTATTCACGGAATTGATTTGTTTTTGTTAATTTTAAATCTATCTTATCGTTACGAAATCGAAAATATATTTTAATCTAAAATCATATTAAAACCATTGCCTTAAATATAACTTGTAATAAGTACTTTATAATATCGAGATATTTAATTCTTCGTCTGAAATAAGGAATCCTTATTTTCCAAATAGAGACAGAGAAAATACTGTGTGGGATAGAGGCTATAACATGATGACGGAGTTTAATCTTAGGATTTTCTCAAGCGCAAAACGTCAATTAGAGTTCTTGGAGGTGATTTGTTTTTACCCCGTCAAGCTTAAAAATCAAACCGGTTGTAATATAGTTAATATGCAATATTTTTGATTCGCACTATATCGTAAGGCTTTATTCTTTTAGCAGTTGAATAAACAACACGCAGATAATGATAATGATTTGAACGGGAGGCAAACCGGCAAGAGGCTCATCCGATGTAAACTCTCAACCCTATAGGGCACGCGAAGGATTTGCCGGCCTTTTAAAAATTGGTACGCTCCTTTCCTGAAGGACCCTAAGTCGAATTGGTTCGTAAAAACTTTAGTGGGCAGCTGATTCCACTATGCAACGCCAAGGGATCAAGCCATTCGGAAAATGTTTTTTTATCATGTATAGCTATTGTCTTCTAGCCTTATACATATACCACTATAAACCTTTTATATTCCATTCAATCGTCCTGTTAAAGATTTTAAAGTGGATGTGTTATTGCCACGTGAAATTTCATACATTGTAATTGATTATCTTTATTTTTAAATTGCGGTGAAACCGTGACAAATGCACTTTACAGACATTCACTCGATAAGATTAACCTTGACAACATCGAAAGCGTAAGGTGAAAAAGATTATAGAACAACGAAACATATCAAAAAATATTATCGCTTTTACATTTCGTATGACACAAAAGCCTCTATGGGCTTTAGATATGTTCACAAATCTACAGCTCTTTTTAAAACACAATTTTTAAAATATAGCCAAAACGGATTACACCATATATACGAAGAACATTTTGTATTAACGAAGAAAATTTACTAATTATTTGTTAAAGTGTGGATATGTGTAATGTTCACACAACCCTCATGGGTGTGTGCGTTTTACGAGTAATGTGAATTAAAAATCTATTCGATTTGATTATTCGTCGCAGGCGTTTTTTTTGACAAAATAAGATACCATTAGGATTACTCCAATGCGGCAACTATTTACCTTTAAATCACATACAAAACAATACATACAAATAGGAAAAAAACACAACATTTAACAGTAATTACATTAAAATATTTACAAAGAGACTAAATATTTCTTACA